AGCCGTGAGGTAAAAGGTCATCTCCATGGAGACAGGCAGGCTGCAGATGGCCCCTCTGATGCGAGTGACTCGGAGTCGGGCAGTGAGACAGCTCGGAGCTGCAGCAGCTACAGCGACAGTTTCTCCTCCTGCGATGATGAGAGCACCGGGAGTAGGAAGAGCAGCCAGAAAAGTGGGAGCGAGGAAGGAATGACTAAACGGGTCACGTTTGCCGAGAAGGAAAGGAGGGAGGAGAAGAAGGACGGGATGGAAGACAGACCAGAGAAAACGCCTGCAGGGCAGAAGGGGGTGAAGGAAACTGCAGGGAAGAGGAAAAAGCCAAGACAACAGTGTGTCGGCAGGAAGAGAACGTCGACACATCCACCCTTCACTGTCACCTCTCTGTCCAGCAGTAAGTACGGTCTAACTTTTCACTGCCTTCTCTTACTAGCAATAATAAGTGTGGTCTCTCATTACAGTTCATCACAGCATAACATTTGCAAAAGTTAACACTTCAACTTTATGTATAATGTGAAGAAAATATACAAACAATTTTTCCATCCAATTTTTAAACAATGGATGACTAGACTAAGTGATAATTCCAATTGATGTCACCATAACATTTAGCTGCTTTTAGTGTACATTAAATTTTGTCGTGTCTTATTGTTAGTTGTACATGATTGTACATATACAATTTACACTTAGCTCCTGGATTTTGATAAATAAATGTAACATGCAGAAGTTTTAGTCACTGCAAAATTGTTGTATACACAAAAGAAGCAAACATGTCAGACACTTTGATTTGACTAGAAAAAGTAAAACAGGTGGATTACCTTCTTCGAATTAGCAATCATAAAAAATCAACATTAACACCAAGTGTAAAAGTACCAAAGCAAAAAGTGCTGGGAATAAGCCAAGTTATGATAGTCTATCTGAAATGACCGTTTCCAAAGTCATGTCCAGTTGCTTGAGTAACTGTTTTTTGGTGCATCATATGACCTGGACGTCTAACCTTCACCGACGTATCTGAAATTGTCCTTGCCTGAATGTTGCACAGTCCTAGATAGATCGTAACAGCCGCAGTGCAGCCAATCGTGACGCCACTGACGGTGGTTGCTCTAAGTCAGGCCTGTTGATTACAGTGACTGTGTCCGTCCCGCCACTAGCCACCACCAGCTGCCCCTGTGTTGCCATGGCAACAGCACACAGCTGCCCCAGGTCCTGAGCGACGTGCTTCAGGAACTTTTTGTTCCTGTCAAACATCTTCACTCCGTTTCCCGAGTCTGCCACGATGATGTTTCCCGCCATGTCTGTGCAGATGCCACAGGGCTTACTCAGCCTGCTGTCAGGCGTGTAACGGTCACGATCGCCAAACTGGAACAGAGACTGTCCGTTCTCGTCGTAGGCAAAGACCAGGTCCTTTTCCCGGTCTGACACAAGAATCCTCCCCTCCCTGTCCACGGTTAAGGAGCATGGGTCCTTGAAGTCGCCATAGTTGAACCTTGAGTACTTCCCACCCACAGTTCTCACAAGTGTCCCATCTGGCCTGAACACCTTTACTGTACCCTGCAGATCCTCCCCATGTTGTGTGGTCTGTGTGAGGAGGATGTGGCTACTCCTGGTGTCCACGGCAACTCCTCTCCCACCCCCTTTTTTTAGGTTGATTGTTCTTTGCGTATCATATCTGCCCCATTGATACTTGTATTGCTGCGCAACAAACTTGGCAGACTCTGTCCACCCCACCACCCACAGGTTCCCCTCCCCGTCCAGGGCCACGTCGGTTGGTTTTATCCTGTCTGTTGTGAACTGGCGGACAAACGTTCCCTGCAGGGTGAAGACTTGGATTCTCTTGTTCCCCCTGTCTGCTACAAAGATCTCCCCTTTATCTGACACGGCCACTCCCGCTGGATCCTGGAACTGTCCTTGCCCTGATCCCCGTCCACCGAACGTCACTCTCTGTGGCTGCTGCTCTTGGTTACCTGTGCCCCCTGCTTTCACATGCCCCAGTACTGGCACGGGGGTGTCTGTGGGCTGAAAGACAGCAGGCTGGGTCTGTACAGGAGTTGGTGCTGGCGCTCCTCTGTACTTTCCTACCTGATCAGACAACTCCAACACTCCTTCTGCCGATTCCTGTTCTGCTCGATCACAGGCTGCAGACAGTTCGTTGACACTTGCAGACAGGCTGTTTCTTGCAACCTGAATTTTCTCCAGGTTTTTCCTGTGATCTTGTTGTGCCTCAGACAGGAGTTTGTCCCTTCTCTGGTTGAGTTTCTGCACCATCTGGCTGTAGGCCTGGTTGATTCCGTTGTCTGTCTCCTGTTTCTTCGTATTCAGGGTTTTCTCAGTCTCCCCCAGGCCTGTTATGAAGCTGCTGTAGCTGCCCAGAATGTTCCTCCCCTCGGTGATCCAGGCCTGGACTCTGGGGCTCCTTTCCTGTGCAGCTTTCTTCACGGTTGTTGTGTGACTGTCCTGGAGGCTGCGCTTTGTTCCAGACTGCTGTCGGCTTGTTGGCAGTGTTTTCTGCTGTTGGAATGTCTCACACATGCTGGCGGCCATGCTGTTGTCTGGCAAACCTGCGACACCCTGGCCTGGCATTGTGGTCTTCTGACGACAGTTTGGACACTCAAACGTGTCTCCTCTCCCCGCATGGACCTGTAGACAGTCCTGACAGAAGGTGTGCTGACAGGGCAGCACCTTGGGCCTGGTGAACAGCTCTAGGCAGATGCTGCAGGTCAGTTCTTCGCGGATTTGTTCCTTGAAACTCGATGCCGCAGCTGCCATTTTCCTCGAGTTCGACAGTGCTTTCACCAAGCTTTCCCCACAATCCCGCAGTCTTTCCGTAGAATCCCGCAAACTATCCCTAAAACTCGACATTTTGTTGCTGCTGACAAGCCTATGGCACAAGCTTGAGGTTCCACCTGAATGATTCTGTTTATCTTCCCATGTGTAATCAACGGAACGGTCGCCTGGCAATGTTGGGTTGGCAATCTTCCAGCAAGGTCATGCAGGGCAGGTTAACCTTCTCCCCGCTGCCTAACCATGTAACCAACACAAATTTGGTGCCAAAAGACTACTTCTGCAGGAGGCAGCTAAAAACTCCCAAACTCATTAATTTATAATGGTTCCGTTCAAAGCAGTGTTAGAAAGCATTGACACGGTTGTTAGGTTGTGTATCAGGTTTTAATTTGAGCTGAGTAAAGTTACAGGACAGGAATAAACATGGTTTTGTGTTTTGTGCCCACCTGTTAATTAAGCACTTCTACAGGCCCTTTGGTCACACTAATTAGACTTCTAAAGCCGTGCTTCAAGTCGGCAATATAGTGCAAATTTGATATAACAGATCATGCATGGCCAACAACATAGTTTTCTCTTCCAAAAAGTGTTTTAAGTTCCTGTTTTAAACATAAAGCCACCACAGATATTTCAAAATTTAAAATAAACAATCAATATTCAAGGTACTTTAAAAAAAAACATTCAGTAAACCTTTTATATAAAATAAGACAGGCAGTGTTAGACTTTGCTTAAAACTATTTGCTAAAGAAACCCTTACAGCTATAGAACTGAAACTTACTTATCATAAAATCTACACATATAATACATATTCTATCAAAGAAATAGAAATCTTCATTCTAATAAATCTAATAATATGGTAGCAAAATTTTTGAAACAATTTTTTTTCATCTAATATTTAAACAATGCCCTTGCCAAAGTGGTCTGCTATGCAGCATTACCCCCTGAAACATTCATCCTGCATTACAGCCAGTGTAGTGCCTAATTTCACAGTAGATTATGACTGTCCAAGGCACCTCCCTCCACTGTCAACTCTGCAGTGCCTTGAACCAATTAGTTTGCCTTTCCCCTGCATTAATGCCCTCTGTCACAGTCTTTGGTTATGGTTGACCCTTACATTAGCACCAGGCTCAAGTAAGCACAATCCTCAACCATTTAGAACATCCTGTGTCAGCAACTGACGTCCCACCGCCTCTGAGCAGGCCTGACTGACCCAATTCAGTCTCTAACCTGCCTGGCCTGAAACAGTCTGAAGTTTGTCCCCCTTTTACACAGGGTATATTTTCAGAAATTCTGTTGCAATTCCAACCTATTAAAAAGAACATACATGAAGTTGCATTTAGGACTTCTTGTCATTATACTTCAACCACCAACACCGTACATGAACCACTATCCTCATACCAAATTTTAGGTCCTTTATTTGACCTAATATGAAGACACAGGAGCAAATAAGTTACAATATACTTTTGGGACTAATTTTTTACAAAAAGCTACATTGAATTATTTTAGGGCCTGCATCCAAAAAATTAAACCAAGAATACCTGTGGAAGTATATTCCCAAGCTCTGTTAAAATTTCAAGACATTTGGTAAAAAAATGTGGTGCCTGGTAGCAAATGTCTAACAAGAAGTGGAGAGAGAGAACACAATGTAGGACCAAGACAGCTTAGAGCATTCTGCTCCCCCCATAGGTCACATGACCTCTGGGGGAGCAGAATGTTCCCATACATGGTCACATGATAGATCAGACCATCCTTTGCAACTCCCCATAGCACATGTAGGAGGCTCTGTATGTATACAAATGCAGTCACTATCAGCCCAGGCCAACAGGTCCTGGACCTTTTGATTTAGTGGTTAAAAGACATTCAAAGAAAAGAAAAGACTCCTGTAGCTTGGTCAAAACAAGCCAAACTTGGAGACATGTATGATGCTGTGTTTCAGCTCAAAGAAAACAGATTATGTTTCACCTCCTAGAAGGCACATATGTTTTCAAAGAGCACAGGATTAATTTGGTGTGACCATCCCCACTGGCAAGCTGTCAGGCAGGCTGTCAGGGGTGGAGATCACATCAGGCAACAGCTTCTGCCCCACTCCAAAAGGCCAAGATGATTAATGATGATTAATGGTCATGGCATCAATCTAGCATTACTCCCAATGTTCAGTGGGAGCTAGTTTAATGCCGGGGTAACCCCAGAAGTGATCTGATAATGACCACGTAATGCGGCATTACAGCCGCACAACTGACAACTTTGGCAAGGGTGAACAACAAGTACCAAATGATGACTTTTCCTTCCCAGGGTACCTCAGCCTGGTGTCCTCGCTTCTCCAGTTACAGCTGAACCCTCAGTACCCCGGGAAGGAGAGGGCCCGGGCGCTCTCCTCCCCAGGTAAGAACATCTCGGAGGAGATGCTGAGGAAGCGAGCGAGGGAAGAAAAGAAGAAGAGAAGGACCGAGAAACGGCAGGAGGAGGAGGCTGCATCACCGCGGGAGAAGCAGCCGTTCCAGCCGTCCGACCACGACCTCAAGGTGATTGTTTGTTTGTTTGTTTGTTTGTTTGTTTAAGGAATCTCCAATTAGTGGCATAACACACCACTACTCTTCCTGGAGTCCTCTCGTGACAAACATTATAAAATACAAACATCATATTATTAACTACTATTTACATCCGCTTCTATAACAAACATTAAACAGTAGTTTGCTGATATATGTGCTGGTAATTATGTAGCAAGTGGCAGGACAGTTTGCTGATATATGTGATGCCTTACAGACCTCGCTCCTCCTGCAGTCTCTTAAACCATTATTACCATCCCTTCCTAGAACTCCCCCAACCCCCAGGTGCAGGAGTGGCTCTATATGTGCTTATAATTATGTAGCAAGTGGCAGGACAGTTTGCTGAGATAGAGGGCTGATCTGTGAAACGTTTAATCCTTCCCTCCCCAGAACTCGCCCAACCCGCAGGTGCAGGAGTGGCTCCATATGTGTAGAGAATATTATGTAGCAAGTGGCAGGACAGTTTTGGAGGGCTGGTCTCTGATACCTATAATTCTTTACGCCCCAGAACTCCCCCAACCCCCATGTCCAGAAGTGACTCTATATTTGCAGATAATTATGTAGCGAGTAGCAGGACAGAGTTGGAGGGCTGGTCTATAAAACGTTGAATCCCTTTCCCCCCCCAGAACTCGCCGAACCCGCAGGTGCAGGAGTGGCTACATGTGTAGATAATTATGTAGCAAGTAGCAGGACAGTTTTGGAGGCTGGAGTGTTAAATGTTGCATCCCTCCCCCCCAGAACTCG